ACCTATACATCTACATTATGACAGCAAGGCAACATTACAAATTGCAGCAAATTCGATTTTTCACAAAAGAACAAGCACATAAAAATCGACTGTCATTTTGTAAGAGAAAAAATCAAGGAAGGAGTAATCACAACCAACTACATTCCCACAAGACAACAAATTGCAGACCTGATGACAAAAGGACTTGGAGCAGCCCAACACAAGTTACTCTTGGACAAGCTAGGAGTGATCGATGTATTCCACCCTCCAGCTTGAGGGGGAATGTTGTGATAGAGGGTTAATTGCGGGGGTCAGTTTGTAATTAGAGAAAGTTAGAGGGTTAGAAAAATTAGTAAGTTAAGAGACGGTTAACACTGTTCTATATAAGAACATTGTACGCGTTTATTAGACTTAATAGAAATGAAAATCTTCTCTCTTCCTTCTCTCCAAAACCTTCCTCCATTGTAGATTCATTTCAATGCATATTTCAATTACAAGAGATTTACACAGAATCTATGTAAATTGACAATTTTATTCCGATATGTTGCAAAGTCTGCAAGTGAAATGTTTTATTTCAAAAAATAGGCAGACTTTAGGAATAAACAAAATGTTAGCACGATACAATCTGGTGCAAGCAAAATATAATTCTGTCATGAAAGGTACTAAGACATTAGAACTTGAGTTAATATTTTATATAGCAAGTAATATTAATTTTTCATATCCATTTTATTTCTTAAACTATTTCATGACCTTTAAGATAGAGATTGCCAATCTCACGATTAGCCAACAACGGATGCTATTGCGTGCGATGTCTTAACCAACTAAATATCAAAGATAAAGAGAACAAAATTAATTAATTATAAGTCAAGGAGGAGCAATTTATTGATAGTACTGTTTTATTCATACTTTGGACTTTGGAGGATTCACTTCTTTATTTTCTTTCTTCTAATTTTAATCAAGGAAAGCACTAATGCGATATGAATAACGTAGTTGACCAAATTGGTTGCCATCACGATTGAGTTGTGAAAGTACATTATACATCACATCTTATCCTTCAATACTTTTAGGTAGGTCAAAACAAGAACCTTTTTTTTAAAAATATTTGAAAAATAATTGCGACATATACATATTTTGAAATTTTCTCCTAAGTTTCTCCTTTGAAACTATAAACCAGGCAAAAATATTGGATCTGCCCAAGTATTCTACTCTCAGAACCCTAACATTCTTGGATCTGCCCGAGCTTTTCAAATTAATTTTTATTTTTTACTTTTCTATTCTTATATTGCTTCTTTCGTTAAAGAAATCACCATATATCAGGACAAGTTAACTCTGACCTAAAAATAATAGAAGACAATATATATTAATAATTCTGTCTCAGCCGAAAGCTTCTGCAACGAAATCAACAACAAACCCAACACAAACTTAGTTATTTAATTTGCAATATGACAACTTGGCAAGACAACGGTAGAAAATAATGTCATGAATTTTTTTCAATTTGTTGCACTTACCTTTCTCATTTATTCTCTTTTCTTTTTTAGGGCAACGAGCGTGACATCTAATTGTTGAACACACAAATTCATTGGTAACGTTAATAAATTTTGGTTCACTTCATGCTTCTAGCAATTGCTTGTGAACTAGTGGAGATGAAAGCTTATTGTCACCTTTCTTTGTCAGTTGTCACCAATAATTGTTATTCATCCATCCATCCACAACTTGTTGTATCAACCCCAAATTATTTAAAGGGGAAAACCCAAAAAAAAAAAAAAAGAAAAAAAAAAGAGAGTAAAGTTCAGATCCTTCACTCCTTTCCTCTCCCCAACAAAATAACACCTTAATTTTCAATTACCTTCCCCCGTGCAATAGGAGTTCCGTGTACTGAATCAGTCAATAATATATTTCAATATTATTTCAATTTTTATATTTATGATTTTAAGTTCTAGAAACAAAAAGCGAACGTGATTTCTTCTAACGTGTCTAATAGAATTATTTGGTACCATACTGGCAAATAATAACAAGTATACCATGAAATAGTCGAGTTATCTATGTTTGACTCGAACACCATATCGTATTGTAAAATAATAAAAATAATGTTCTAGAACCAGTCAAGACCTTTCTCTAGCTTTCACGAAATATGTAATACCTAAGAGGAAACTTTACATCAATTATCTCCTTATTTTCTCCTTTCCATGTCCATGATTACATTGTTGGACTGGTGCAAAACCGTTAATTGGTCAAAAAGAAACCTAAACGAGGTTGTATTCATTTGCAATACATCCACATTAGTCAGCTAAAACGAGTTCTAATCACTGATCAATGCCAGTACCCCTTGATAGTTTTCCGATTCATTGGAAATTCAAATAAAGTCGACAAATTATTTTAGTCAAATCTGGGATATGTGGAAAGTGGCATTTAATTCAAATGAGTCGTCGTACATGTTAAAGCCCGTTGAAAACTGAATTGACACTTAAAAAGATATCGGGTCTATCTTAGGTTAAAGTAGGGAAATTTTCATAAAGCACTATCTTTTAGTTGTAATTAGTCATCTTTATATACCATTTGCTATATTATGGATTATAGATACCTTTTCTGTAGTTATAAGATGTATTTGATGTATTTAAGCTATTGTATTCATAAATACAGTAGCAAAAATAGGCGTTGATACCACACAAGAGGGGGGGGGGGGGATGATTTGTGTGGTACCCAATTTTCGCTTAAGTTGTTTATGGAAGGACCTGGTTCTTCTAGGTGTTCCAACAACTACTGTTTACGGAATAATAAATACAAAAAATAAAGGACACGGAGATTTTTACGTGGAAAACACTTGGCTCAAAAGGTGAAAAACCACGACCTACTACTCAGTAGGATTTTCCCAAACTTTCACTAAAATCACTGAGCCAAACAGCATTTACAAAAACTCTTTGTAAACCTAAGGATTAACTCTAATCCCGTTGTGGCACACACCTCAACTATTGCGACAACTTCAAGTTAGCTATAACTTGAACACTCTAGGTACCTAATACAATTGCTTCTATGAAAGCTGAAAGGTACAATTTTAAACCACCTACTACAATTGAACTAGAATAAAAGATAGACACAATGTAACTGGTTCTTCTATCTCGTTCAAGTAGCTTCAGGAGTGCACACTCAAATCACACATAAATTGCTTGCAAAATCGCCTTGCTCTTTTGCTCTCAATTTAGTTTAACTTCTGCGTATGTGCATTACCTGTAAAAGAGAACAACACTAACATTTAATAGGTTAGTAATCAGAGTTTGATTGGGACTCAAGCGCTGCTCTTCTATCGTGGAAGAGTTCATGATGATCTCAAACTCTAACACTATCTTCATCCTAGATTGTGTTCTCTTCATATAAGGAGACTTTCTCCCCTTATCTTATATGTAACCTTTTCGATCGGATTAGGAGATATTGGTGCTTGTTCAGTAGGATTTATCTCCTTCGCGTGCATCTCACATGCATGGATTGATCATGATTGTGCTTCACAAGATGGACCTGGTCCATGACAGAGTTCTTTTGTCATTCTTCAAAACTTCACCTGTTCTTGGGCCAACAAATTCCCCCTTTTGATGATGACAAACTCTGTGCTTTTTACTGATTTGGAACCTGTAAGAACTCAGCTTAACCATCAATACTAAACATAGAAAATTCACTTATCATCAAGGACCAGGTTAATTAGGTTATAAATATCACTTATTTCAGAATGTGTAAAGCACAATGCTCTTCCCCGTTCTGGCATCATCGAAAAGTTGAATACAAAGTATGATTCCTAGATTTTAATAAGTACTCATGGTCACTGGGGCAACTGCAAGTGCAATCATTAGTAATCAAGCAAACATATTTAAACTATCAAGGACATATTAATCATTGAACAAGAGCAAGACAGTAGTTATCATTGACAGAGATATGTTGCCACCAACAATCCACAAAAAGAAAGAAAAACATCCAAACCATGAGCAAAAACAAAAGATAGAAAAACCCCTAATCTAGGTCACTGAGGTACTAAACAAGTTCAGGAGACAAAAGCTAGGAGTCCTAAGGCTTGGAAGAACTAGAGGGTTGGGTTTGAGTTTGGAGAAAATTCAGCATGTTCTGAAGAATTCCATCATTCTTCTCCTTTTATTTGGCAAGCTCAGTTCTGATACCATCCCTCTTAGATTCCACTTCAATCACACGAGCCTTGAGCCTAGCTATTTCAACATCCTTGGCTGCACATTCCTGAACCAGAGCCCTAACTTTGCTGTTGATGGGTGTCTTCTGGGATGAACCTGGTTCATTTGGGATGGCATTGACTGGATAGTCACAAGTAATAAGAGTATTGATACCAAAGTGTTCCTTGCTCGAGGACATTTCCCATTTCTTCAGAGGCACATTTAGCCTGTCCAGAACTGTGGTTAGAATAAAGCCATATGGAGTAGCATAAGCCTTGGAGCCATTTATGACCCTGTCTAGCAGCTTGATAATGAAGGCATGCCAGTTTATTTAGTTTCCTCTCCAGGCACTCCATAAGAACTAGATCCATGTTATTAGCAATGTGCCTTCTCTCCTGTCTGGGCAATAGACATTTGTTGACAAATTCAAACAAGACCTTATGCTCAGGTCTCATTTCACTTTTCTGCACAACCCTGGTCATTCACATCTTCTGAATCACAAAATCTCCTGGTGATTGCAAGAGCAGTAGGGAGGGAGTCCAGGCAGGGCCACCTTTGCCTTGTATAATCATCAAACCCTTCAGAGGGTACGTCCAGGATTTCTCCCAGTTTCTTTGCATCAAACTGCACTTGGACTCCTTTCACCAGGCTACTAACAATGCCTTCTTGAACCACATCATTTGCCATAAATTCAATTAGCTTATGTATGGCTAGCCTACCATCCATCTGAAGGACCATGTCCTTCCATCCCTGAGCAGCTAAAGCATCTACCAATCTCATCATTCCTGGTTCCATCAGGTCTTTCAGCAGTCTACCTTATAAAATCTTTCTTTTTCCAAACATGGCAAGCTTATCCTATTCCTTCTCAGAATCATTTTCTTCTTCTTCTCCACTCCAGTCATCATCTTCAGAAAATTTTGATTGTTTGTTTTTCATTGCAGATCTTGTCTTTTGGATAGTGTAGGTTCAACAAACTCAGACACAGAGGAAGACTTCTTGGAGGAAGTCTTGGGCTTTTTGGGCTTGGGGGTAGGAACCTCCACTGATGTACCCCTTTCTTGATGGACCAGTTGCATCTCCTCTTCCTCCACAGCCTCTGAGGATTCTACAATCTTTCCCTTTCCTTTATCCATTTTCTTTTTCTTACTCTCAGCTAAAGCCCTTTGTAGCTTTGTTTCACTCTGCTTCTTGTGGCTCTACCCTTTGGCAATGAAGAGGCAGTAGGTGTTGGCGAAGAAGCCTTTCTTTTCTTGGAAGGCTTAGGATCATTGGAGATTTTTGTTGTGGGAGTTCTGCGTTTCTTTGGGTCATAGCTTGCCCCAACCTTTTTCAGCAGGTCTGCTAGGGTTTCTTCAGCAGATGAAACAGGTTCATCTCTCTGTGTGCTCAGATGAACCAACCCCTCAACAGCTTCCCCAGAACCACTTCTCCCTGACTTCATGCCACTCTCTTCTACCCTTTCTTGTGCAACCCCACAGATAGCAAGCACTACTCCTTTCCCACTTCCCCTCTCTTCACCATATGTACACTCTCTCTCTTTTTCTTTTTTAGAATTCTTTTTACCTCCACTCCTTTGTATCTCAGGCAATTCAACATCCCTAATAGGTCTAACCAGAACAAACCTAGTCTCTAGGTTTTCAATCACAGATGAACCTACCTTAGAAGGAGATTCTTGAGTCTTTTCAGAGTCAGAAGACCCATGTCCTTCCCCCTCAGTAGCGGATTGATAGGATTCAGAATCAGAGCTAGAGTCGGAGTTTTGAGCTTGGCTTGCTTTCACTTGGCTTGCTTTCAACCTCTCATTTAATGCTTTCCTCAGAGCCCCGGATGCTACAGTCTTTCGAGCAAGCATTTTCACCCTTCGTAGTATAAGTTTTGGAGATGCACTGGGTGGAGTAGTTGAGGATGAATTTGAGGGAGATGGTGGTGGAGGAGTTCCAGGATTGTCTTGTGGGTTGGTCATGATCGTTGGTTTCTTGAGAGAATTTGGGAATTAGAGTTTTAGAGAAGAGGGCAAGTGAAGGTGAAAAAGGACTTTTGACGGTTTGGAATTATGAAGATGGCAGGAGAAATGATGTGTATTTAAAGAGAAATACATATTTAATAGGTAACGGCAGCTTTTAGCAGTGGTCAATTAGAGGTCTATTCAACCTGAAATTCAGATTTTGAATGATCGGTTTATCTTCCCTAGATTTTAGGCAAAATTTTCGATTTAGAGTTCTAGGCAAACGGAACGGGTTCAATGCTAACGGATAGAATTTTCTAGGAATTGAACAATTACAGAACTTCTGCTCATGATTGAAATATTAATCTTTCTAATTGTGCAGAGTATAGAAAACATACCTTAGCTTTCATATGAACCCATACTGATGAACCAGGTTCTTCAATTAGAAGTCTCTTGAACATGCCTCAAATGCCATAATAGAGAAAATTTTGTAAGAGATCAGTGAGTTCGCAGGATTATACTAATTAAAGTATGAAGCTGAGTAAGAATTAATCTAGATATTTACACAAGTTTAGAGTTCCTAGCCAATTTTTTTTTCATTGTGCATTCTGAGCTGGACCTATTAGGTGATCTTAATCATCCCTAATTCCAACCTGTTCCTCTCAAAGTTTTCTCTGCTGAGTGCTTTTAGTGAAGATGTCAGCAATTTGTTTATCAGTAGCACAAAATTCTATGGAGATTAATCCTTTCTCATTGTTATCTCTCAAGAAGTGGTGTCTAACATCTATGTGTTTAGTCCTCTTATGATGAACAGGGTTCTTTGTCATACTTATAGCACTAGTGTTATCACAGAATATAGGAATGCAACCAAGTTCAATGCCAAAATCTGCTAGCTGCTGTTTGATCCATAGCAATTGAGCACAACAAGAGGAAGCCGCAATATACTCAGCCTCAGCGGTGGATAAGGCCACTAAATTTTGCTTTTTAGTGGCCCATGATACAAGACATGAACCAAGAAAGTGAGCCATACCTGAGGTGCTTTTCCTATCCATAAGGAAACCTGCATAATCAGTATCAGCATATCCTACTAGATTGAAATTACTACCTTTGGGATACCAAAGACACAGATCGGTGGTTCCTTTCAAATATCTTAGTATCCTCTTGACAGCAGTCAAGTGAGACTCTTTTGGATTAGCCTGGAAGCGAGCACAAAGCCCACACTAAAAACGATGTCAGGTCTGCTAGCAGTAAGATACAAGAGTGAACCAATCATACCCTTATACAACTTCAGATCAACTGATGAACCATGTTCATCAATGTCTAATTTAGTGGCAGTTGCAATGGGGGTGTCTATTTCCTTTGATTCATCCATTTTAAACTTTTTGATCAGCTCTTCTGCATACTTCTATTGATGGATCATGGTCCCATTTGGGCTTTGTTTGATCTGTAAGCCTAAGAAAAAGTTAAGATCACCCATCATACTCATTTCAAACTCACTCCCCATTAATTTTGCAAAATTCTTACTTAGTTTATCAGTGGTGGCCCCAAAGATTATGTCATCAACATATATTTGTACCACAAGGAGATCCTTACCTTTTTCCCTTAAGAATAGGGTATTGTCAATTTTACCTCTTTTGTAGCCATGTTCAAGCAAAAATTTGGACAGTCGTTCATACCATGCTCTAGGAGTCTGCTTGAGTCCATAGTGAGCCTTGTCTAATTTGTACACATGCTCAGGACATTCCTTGCTCTCAAACCCTGGAGGTTGTTTCACAAAAACTTCTTCTTTCAGGTAGCCATTTAGGAAGGCACTTTTGACATCCATCTGATGGAGAGTGAATTCCATGTGTGCTGCAAAGGCTATGAGGAGTCTTAATGCCTCTAGTCTTGCAACTGGAGCAAAAGTCTCATCATAATCTATACCCTCCTCTTTGCTGAACCCTTGGACCACCAGTCTTGCCTTGATACTTGTAACTGTTCCATCTTCATCAAGTTTGTTTTTGAAGACCCATGCAAGAGTTAACGTCGAACCTTGTGAGACCGATAGGGCGGGTAGTGGAGATATACGGCGGTGATCGGCGGTGAGAGGTTGGCGAGAAAGAGAAATTGAAAGTTCGCGAAACGATATACAGAAACAGGGGAAGGGATTTTGCACGGGAATGGGGAAAAGTTGCTGTTTGGAAGACTCGTGTGTGTGTAATTTAATTTGTTAGTAAATAACATTTTTGGAATTATTTTAGATGCATGTTTTTAACTTTTTTACTAATACAAGGTTTTTTCTATTCTTATAGGATACACTTGAATTATGGATGTAAATACCTTTAAAAAACCATGTATTATTAGTTACAGCCTTAAACTATTTGTGATCTTAATTAGCCTCCTCAGTTTGGCCTTTCGAGAACCATTACCCCCTCGGCGTTGATGTTGCAAAAAGTGTTGGTGCACTCGCCTACCACGTAGATTTTTCTGTATATGTGACATTTTTNACCATATTTGGCTACTTCCCTTCACTTGGACCTGCAAAAAGAAATCAAGGGTTAGTCTTAGGAACCCAAACTAGTTTGGGTCCCTTTCTATAGGCAAAGGGATAAATCAAATTCCTTTTAGCCTACCCAGGCAGCCTATTTTTCTTTTGAACAAAAGCCTTGTTCTTTTGACTGGCCTTTTCTTTTGCATTACATTCATTTTTCTAATGGCCAGTCTTCCCACAGTGTGTGCAAATTTTATTCTTAGGAAGAGTGAGGTACTTGCTTTTAGGATCCCACTTAGGTGCTTGAGTCCCATAGCCAAGCCCTCTTTTGTTGCTACTATGATGTTCTTGTAGCCAGGAAAGTGCATCAGAAGCCTTGTTCCATTTGCAAGTTCTGTCTAGTTCATGTTTTACCTTCCCTAGATCTTCTTTTAAGACTCTTATCTGCTCATCCTTCCTGTACAACTCATCCTTCATTTTTCCTAAGTTTTCTTCTAGGGTGAGACGAGTGCGATCAGCTTTCTTCTTACCTGTTCCTAGTTTCAGTTTTTAGTTCTCAGACCTATGTTCTAGGACATTGGTGTCAAGTTCAAGAGCCTGGTTCTTCAACTCAGTATTTTTACTATCACTCTCATTAGCCCTAGATTCTAGATTTTTGCACTTGGCTTTTAGGATCACACATTCCCTAGACAGATCTTCCTTCTCAAATTTAATTATCTCAGACTCCTCAATGAAGTCTAGCAATAGCTCAGACAACCTTTCTTTCGACAGGAATTTAATCTTGTCTTTGAGAAGAAGGACACTTACCTCTTGTTCATCATCTGATTCTCCGATGGCCAAAAGTGCTTGTTCATCTCCAGCTTCATCTTCTGAGTCCTCATCTGATGTTTCTCCCCAAGCAGCAACCATAGCCTTTGTTGATCCCTTGTTCCTTTTAGGTTGAACCTGTTCCTTCGTTCAGCCCTTTCCTTCTTCCACTCAATTTCCCATTGAGGACAGTTCTTGATCATGTGATCAGTCTTACCACATTTGTAGCACCCCTCGTCGGTCTGTTTCTCAGGAACCCTTGGTTTGTTGAAGGTTGTACCTCTTGAAGAACCCTTTCCTCTCATCGGGTACTTTTTGAAATCTCTTGTGATCATGGCCATTTCATCATCCTCCAGATTTGAACCTTCAGCTATTCTGAGAGCCAGACTTCTTTCCTTCTTGGGTGCATCCATTTTCATGGTTTGCCTTCTCAGTTCATAGGTAGTGAGGTTTCCAATCAGTTCATCCAGCTTGAGGGTAGCAATGTTCTTTGATTCCTGAATAGCAGTGATTTTGCTTTCTCAAGTCACTAGTAAGACTCTTGTCAAGATTTTCTCAACCTTGTCTTCTTCAAGGATAATTCTCCCAAGAGATTTAAGTTCATTTGTTAGTGTTGTGAACCTTGTGTACATCTCCTGGATAGATTCTCCTTCCTTCATACTGCAATTCTCATATTGAGAATATAGCAGTGTCCCTCTTGATCTCTTTACTTGAGGAGTTCCTTCATGAGCCACTTGTAAAGTATCCCATATTTCCTTTGCAGTAGTACAGCTTTGAATCCTACTGTACTCGTCTGGACCCAGTCCACACACAAGCCATTTCTTGGCCTTGGCATTCTTCTCCCATTTCTTCAGATCTTCAGCAGTGCAGTCAGCTCTTGTCTTTGGCACATCCACACCTTCAGCATTCTTCTTTATAGTTGCCGGAGGACTATGAGTGACTATGTCCCAGAGTTCATAGTCTTCTCCTATGATGTGATCTCTCATCCTGTTCTTCCACCAAGAATAGTACTGACCATTAAAGAGTGGGGGCCTAGCAGTGGATTGCCCTTCTCAGTTTCCAGGTGGTGCACTCATTTTGATCTTTTCCTAAGGTGTTAGCCTCTTCAAGGATAACCCGCTCTGATACCAATTGATGTTTTAAGCGTCAATACCACACAAGAAGGGGGGGTGATTTGTGTGGTACCTAATTTTCGCTTAAGTTGTTTATGGAAGGACCTGGTTCTTCTAGGTGTTCCAACTACTATTGTTTGCGGAATAATAAATATAGAAAATAAAGGACAGAGAGATTTTTACGTGGAAAACACCTGGCTCAAAAGGTGAAAAAACCACGACCTACTACTCAGTAGGATTTTTCCAAACTTCCACTAAAATCACTGAGCCAAAATAGCATTTACAAAACTGAGCCAAAATAGCATTTACAAAACCTCTTTGTAAACCTAAGGATTAACTCTAATCCCGTTGTGGCACACAACCTCAACTGTTGCGTCAACATCAAGTTAGCTATAACTTGAACACTCTAGGTACCTAATACAATTGCTTCTATGAAAGTTGAAAGGTATAATTTTAAACCACCTGCTACAATTGAACAAGAATAAAATATAGACACAATGTAACTGGTTCTTCTATCT